GGTTGCTTGAAGAGCTTAGCGGCAGCCAAGTTGTCCAGCTCTACCCTATCCTTTGGATCTGGGCTCCTCTGAAACCATTTGCACGCAGGATCGCTCGTGGCAGAGCCCCCCATGCAGCACAGGGCAGCAGTACTTAGGGGCCTGGCAGGAGTACCCCTATGGTCTCCCCCTCCCTTGCCCCCTACTTACCAGCATTGAGTCCAGGTCCAGCTCCCTGCTGCAGCCAGCGGGGACTGCCTGACTTGCCGAAGCTTTCCAAATCTTTTCCAAATCGATTTGGAGAGCTTTGAATCGTTTCAGACCTTTTAATTGGTCTCCTGATTCGATTGGGATTCAGAGATTCAGCCACCAAATAGGGCCAAATCACCTCCAAATCAAATCAGCGCCTGAAGCTTCGCACAGCCCTACTGCCAACGGTGTTCCTAGGCAATCACGCTGGGTGGGCAAAGCCTGTCCCAATAACTTCTCTTTGGGATCAGTGTCAGCATCCTAACACGGATCACTTTTAGGTTTCGTTGTAGAAAATAGAACTCAAAACTCAATCAGCTCCTTTGCTGGAGCAGGGTCGGTAAATGCCCTTCACCAACCATCTCCCGGTGTTGTTGTGGATGGAAGGAAATGACTTCTGACAAAGGAAGAAAACTCAAACAAAACGTAGCCCCTCTAGTGCCCTCCATTCGGCGCTAGGCATGGTTTTCACACTTACACATCCCTGCTAATCCCACTAACTAGATGCAGGATCTCACAGTAGTGCAGGCTTTCTCTGGACGATATCTCCGAGGATGAGAATCCCTCCAGGTTCTCTATTTTTGGGCTCCAGCATCTTCTCCCTATGCCCCTGTTATCCGGTTTGCTGGGGCTGGAGAGTTTTCTCTGCTACCTCTGTCCAGCTCAGCTGCCCAAGCCCTCTGACACTGCAGGCATGGTTTTATTCCATCTTCCTCTGCACGCCCACCTATGCGCAGGGAGCATGTGCTCTTAAAATGGAGAGGCGGTGGCGCAGATCTGGTGTGTGTAGGTAAGTTATGCCCATCATTAGCCTTTACCGGGTTAGTCTCCCCTATGGGCTTCATCCCTCCCATGGTGCACTCAGCCCCCTTCCCGTGTCACACGGCAATGCTCATCTCAAATGTATTCATTGCTCTAGGGTTCAGAACAATTAATAAAAGTTGCAAATGCCTATTTGGTTCAAAAGCCTTTAAAAAACACTACCGAATGTATAGAGTTTGCAAGGCCTAGTCCCTGTGCCTCCTGGCTGCCTTAGTCTCTCCAGACACTGCTGAGCACACTAACCCTACTGCGTGAGGGATGCCTTTCCGTTCCCTAACCACCTAATCAGTAGTATATTGCAGACAACTGTCCTTCTCTGGCTTCAAAGAGTCTTGCATTAATTGACATTCATAACTAATTCACACACTAAAGAAGATCTGCCAGGGCAGTCTCACCTGGTCAGCAGTCAGGTGCAGACAACCAACAAATTAAATCACTGAAGTAGCCCAGAGTCTGACCAATCCCACAACATGTCCTAGCCCCAAAGAGCATTCTTTTCCTTCTCCCCACATTAATCAGTAGCAATAAAAATAAATCACCTTTGGTGTACACCAGCTGGTTAGCAGCTTTTATGTCTCAGCTGCCTTGGTCTCTCCACTTCTGTGCTTGTTCAATAATGTGTTTCACTAATCTGATGGATGGAGAGTTCCCCAGGCCAGTTCCTTTCCCTCTTCAATGACTAGCACAGTGTTTTCCCTACTCCAGTCCTTGGGGACCTCATCTGCACTACCTGGATTCTCCAAAAAAAAAAAATGCTAACGAGCGAGAGATTGTTTGACAAGTTCTCTTAGTAATCTTGGCCGTATTTCATTATGATCTGCAGATATCAGTGCATCCAAGTCCTCTCAATATGCTTTAACTTGTTCCTTCTTCTGGTCACATGCTTCTTCTCCACTTTTGTATATTTTACTTGGACTAAGCATCTGGTCACAATTAACCTTCCTGAGCTAATGAGCAACATCAGTTTGCCACCCTGTAAACCTGTCTCCAGCACAGATGAAAAAGCTATGCTTCACCATGAATCAGACCCCTGAGTCTATTCCTTAGCCTCACGATAGAAGAAAAGTCATGCTGCTCTGGTTGTTTCATGGTGATGGAGGGCTCTGTGTCTTTTTCAATGTGTCTTTTAAAGCATTCATTTACCCAAAGAGAAGAGGAGGGAGCAAAACCAGCCAGTCTACAGGACCTGCTCCCCTCTTCGCCCAGGTCGAGGCCTCCCACCAACTGGGTGTTATCACAAAAGAGCTGAGGTGCTCCCATATCTCAGTGGTTTTCAACCTTCTTAGACTATAGGACCCCCTTGTTAGACTCAAGTCACCCCTCAGGAAATGCCATTTCTTAGTTTTCACTCACTTTTTTGAATAGGAAAAATAATAGAGCAATCCTTCTGTTGCAAAGAAATCAGGAAGCCCACAATAGACCAGCATGGCTTTGACTTGATTATGGCTTGCTATTTGAAATCTTTGGGTTTATCCTCTCTGGGTGACTCATGCTTGCCCACCTAAAAATGCTAGCATTGTGTAGCACCCTTGAAAGGATCTCAAGGCACCCCAAGGTGCTGAACCATGCCATAACCTCAGTGTTCCTAAGCGAGGGGCACGACAGGTCTCTCACTGGGGTTGTAGAGAGGCAGCAGCAAGGCGCCAGACTACCATGCGTAGACCCTGAGATGGTGCGGAGTCACTTGGAAGAACTGGATGCCTTTAAGTCGGCAGGCCCGGATGAGCTCCATCCGAGGGTGCTGAAGGCAATGGCCGATGTCATTGCAGAGCCACTGGCGGGAATATTTGAACACTTGTGGCGCACGAGCCAAGTCCCGGAGGACTGGAAAAGGGCCAATGTGGTCCCCATTTTCAAGAAGGGGAGGAAGGAGGACCCGGGCAACTATAGGCCAGCCAGTCTCACCTCCATCCTTGGCAAAATCTTTGAAAAAAATTATCAAGGCTCACATTTGCGAGAGCCCGGCAGGACAAATTATGCTGAGGGGAAACCAGCACGGGTTCGTGGCAGGCAGATCGTGCCTGACCAATCTAGTTTCTTTTTATGACCAGGTTACGAAACGCCTGGACACAGGAGGAGGGGTGGATGTCGTATACTTAGACTTCAGGAAGGCCTTCGATACGGTATCCCACCCCATACTGGTGAACAAGTTAAGAGGCTGTGACTTGGATGACTACACAGTACAGTGGGTGGCAAATTGGCTAGAGGGTCGCACCCAGAGAGTCGT